CAGTAAATATATATAGATGTGTCTGTACATACAGTATTGCCATCACCTGCGTCTGTTGTCCCCGTCATTGCCGTTGCTGGCGCCGTGCACTTTCATTGTAAACACGATAAGTGGAAGGCAGTTTTACTTTTTGGCTTTATATTTACACAGCTGATGAATATTCATAAAACGCAGGTCAAGTTCGAAAATCAGCATGATCGGGCCATTATTGTAGAAGTTATGCTTTATTTTTCACTTTTCAGCATATATGCAACACTGTAAACACAATATAAGAAAAACCGATAGGCCAATTGTCATTAAACTCACAGGAGTGGTCATTCCTGCTAAATCACAGGTTGAGTTCAAAAATCAGCATAATCGGGCCATTATTTTAAAGAAATGCCGTTTTTATGTACAGACACAGATGTATTTTACCTGTTGAGCATAATTAAAATTTGATGTTGAATTTGCAGTTTAACATAATGTACTTTTGCATCAGAATTGACAGTAGCCTTTTTTTGTTATTTCCTGCTTTTTGTCTGTACATTTGACAGCTTTGCTGCCTTGTTAAATGCTTTTGTTCTTTACAGGGAAGTCTTTGCATTGTTTGAGGAATTATCCAGTATATTTTCAGAAGAAAACAATCAAATGGCCCACCGTGAGCTGCTCAACAAGGTAGGATGTTCAGAGTACAGGGCTAAAAATCAAATTATTGAATGTACTAAAGGACAAGATAGGACAAGATAGTAGTCCTTTGTTAAAGCATAGCTGTGAGAGTGTTAAGTTATCATTTGGATAATTTTCTTTCTTAAAAAATCATCATATTCAAGAAGCTTAAAACAGCAAAGAATTGCAAAGTTACAATTATAATTGTAATTGTTTCTCAATCAAGAGATAAAAATCAAGCTTACAATAAAATATTGGCATCAGTGGTAATAACTCTTACTTAAAGCTGTTATTTGAAGAAACTTTTAATTTGACTTTGACATGAAGAAACTTAAATTTTCATCTTCAATAACATGATGATAATAAGATTGGTTGTTTTGGTATATTATTCCTGACTTGCGAGTATTCAGTAGAGCCTGTCCTTTGAAATAATCATAATAATAGTGCAAAGTTTTCATGAAGATGACTACTCTGGTAATCTACCAAAAATGACATAATTGATATACACTATACCTAACTTTAAGCTAACTGTTTTAGAATTTTGAAAATATGCAAGTAAATTGCACAGAACTTGACTTACTCCATTTCTGTGTCTTCTAACAGGAAGGAACAGCCAAATATGCAGCTACCGACACTTGGGGGAGGAACTGGAAGCGGCGGACAGGGCATTCTCACAAAAGGAAGGCAAAGTCTGTGGATGGGGTAAGTTTGTGGTGCAGCTTATGTGATTTTATGTGATACACAAATATTGTTATTAATATGAGTTGGTACCATGTTTTGGGATATATCTGCTTCACAGATGTATTCAGTCTTTTTCCCCTAACCCTTCTGCATATTGTCACACTCTCTATATATCAGTCTACATATTGCCACACACTCTATATGTCAATCTACATAATGTCACACCCTCTTTATGTCAATCTACCTATTGCCACACCCTCTATATGTCCATCTATGTATTGCCACACCCTCCATATGTCAATCTACATATTGCCACTCCCTCTATATGTCAATCTACCTATTGCCACACCCTTTATATGCACCTTTACATATTGCCACATCCTCTATATGCTCTTCTACATGTTGCAACACCCTGTAGATGTCCACTCCATGTCCACTTCATGTCCATTGTGCATATTTCAGATCACAGTCCAGGGGACAGTGCCATACTTGGGAACCTTCCTCACTGACCTCACCATGATCGATACAGCCACGCCTGACCTGTCTGAGGACGGACTCATCAACTTTGAGAAAAGACGAAAAGAGTTCGAAGTGCTGGCACAGATCCGACTCTACCAATCAGCGGCACATATATATAACCTGCAGCCAAACGAGAGGTTTATGGTCTGGTTTAGTGGAGTTCGAGTTTATAATGACAACGAAAGGTAATATTTCAAAGTATTTAAAATGATGCTCACTTCAAGAGATCGTGAATTCAAATTTTTTTGAAAGATTTTGGTATTTACACATAGACTTGATATCTTTGACATATGTCATCACGATGACAGATAGATTAAGACCATGAAGGGAAAGTTTGATAAAACTAGGTATTGTGGACAGTTTTGTATAATATTCCGTGAAGTCTGTGCTGTCAGCATTGGCCCCACACCAAATGTCTGTTGACTTGAAACCTTGCCAGTAAAATTTGTAATTTAAATTTGTTCATTTTCTAGTTAATGGGTTTTAACATTATTACATTTATTTACTTGGAAATGTAGACCTCTCCTTGTTGTTTCAGTTATGAATTATCTTGTGCCATAGAACCTGCAGACTCTCCAGCTCATGGGAAACTGAAGAAAAAAGCAAGGTTGGTATCTGAATGTATTTTTTTCATGTCATGTGACATAAGAATGGTCAACTGTGTATTTATTTGTTTTCATAATGATCTGAAAATTACTTGATAATGCAAAAATGGAAAAAAATAGGAAAAAAGTAAATGTTTGAAATAAATAAACAGTTGAACTTTCACATTTGATTTTTTTCAAAGTACAGTGAAGGTATGTAATTTTAAATTAAAATCTTATTTAAGATGACAGACACTTTTAAACAAATTAAGCATATAGAAAAAGTACAAAGCTGAAACTGAAACAGGCATAAAAAAATTTTGTTTCACATTTTATATATTGTATCTTTTAGTGCCCTATCATGTGTGAGTGGGCTAATGAGGACACCAAGCATGGGCTCTAACTCTTCACTAAATCAGGACTCCAGATCCTCTGACAGCAGCAGTCTGGCTGATTCTCTGTCTCTCTTATCTACGTCTCAGGTATGAATTTATTTTGATAACTTTATTTCAAGGTGTATTCATTTTCTACTGGTATTTTAAAAGAGCCTGCATTTCATAGTTGAGCCAGCTTCCATATTTTTTAACTGCCATTCCTGCCTGCTTTTTCACATCTAAAATTCAGTTGCATTTGATTGAATTTTACCACTCCAGTCAAAAATGTTAAGATCTGTTAATTGCCCCACATGCCCTTCTGTGTAACCATGAAATCTAAATGACTGGAAGAACATCTTTGAATGATGCAGCAAACTTCGGTCAGACTTGCTGTAAAGGGGCAAAAAAAGCATGTATATATGGAAGTTTGCAAAAGAAAGTTGCTGCCTCAGATCAAGCCTCAAGGTCATGTCCCTAAACTGTTCTCTGGGTCTTTTCTTTCCACTTTTTAGTCAGATTTGAGCATTTTTGATAGTATGCACTGGATTTTAGTCACACAAATTGTTACTGTTCTGTATGTAAAGCCTTGATTGTATATGTCTTCTGTGTCTATACAGATTGTAATGTATTGTTGGCCAGAGGCCATAAACTACAAAGAATAAATCATTATCATCATCATCACTGAATTGATAATTATGCTGATAACAAATGTCTACCAGATAACTTGATTAAAAAATTAAAAATCAAACTTTCTTGGATAGATGATTATAAAATAACTTAAACAATTAAGTTTTGAAATTTGTTACTTGTGATTATAGTCATTATTCAGTAAATTGATAAAGAAGTTGTTTCTATAGTAAAAAGTTAAGAATAGAATAACATGAAATTGCTGTTTCAGTAACACTGACAGTAACTTGCTGTACATTAGAATGTACATAAATGTGAGTAAGAAAAAATGATACATCTTTAAAAAGTTAAAAATTGGAATGAATGAGTTATTTGAAAATTAAAAGTTGTAACCATGAATATCATATTTCCAGATCTCCACGGATTCTCAACTGAAATCTCCTCTCTTGTCTCCCGGTGATATCACAGAGTTTAAATCTCCTGATGCCTGTGTTATTAAAGTCAAACTTGACACAGGGACCGAGGAGGATACTAGTCTCTACAAGTCCATCATGGTAAGTGTTACTGATTTCAAATCTCCTGATGCCTGTGTTATTAAAGTCAAACTTGACACAGGGACCGAGGAGGATACTAGTCTCTACAAGTCCATCATGGTAAGTGTGACTGATTTCAAATCTCCTGATGCCTGTGTTATTAAAGTCAAACTTGACACAGGGGCTTAGGAGGATACCAGTCTCTGTAAGTCCATCGTGGTAAGTTTTGCAGAGTTAAAATCTCCCAATAGGACTACAATGCCTGTGTTGTATAAGCCAAACTTGGCACAGGTTGTATTGTTTCCTTTTTCTGTATCTATTGGTATATGCAAGGCTTAATTACAGCACAGTTATTCACAATAAATGCATAATTATTCTATTTTTATTTCTCAGTATTCAAACTGAGATTGGTTGTTGGCATATTTGTCAGCTTTGGCTGGATATATTTCCAGCTTGGCAATTGTTAACATTTGTGTATTTGCCAGGTTTATTTATTTTTTTTTCAACTTGGCAGTACAGTACAAAATAAGATATTTTCAAATTTTATGGTGATATTGTCTCTTTTCCTATTTCCAGCTTGGCAATGGAGACCATACGGGTGTTGTTATCAAGAAAGTGTTGGAGAAATACAATCTTGAAGCTGACAATCCAACTGACTACAGCATATACCAAGTCCTGCCAGATGGGGGTGAGTGAAAATAACAGATGATGGTGAATCCAGGTTTTATCCAAGGGGAGGGGGAGGCACGGGGATAACATATATTTGCCTTGTTTTGCTTGACAAGTATTAGATACTGGATGGCTGACAATTTTAATGTAGCACAATGTCTGTAGGGTATGGGGATGGAAAATTAGCTTGGCTTTGTCTTGCTTGAAACAATGTATTCATCAGAGATATTTGTCCCACTGAAATGCAATCTCTTATTGATTTAAAATAAAAAGTATTTTAAAATGTATTTATTTATTTTTATTTATTTATTTATTTTTTAGATCTACACATCCCCGATAAAGCCAATGTGTTCTATGCCATAAATAACAATGTCAAGGAACTGAGATTTATGGTTTGCAGAAAAAGCCTAGTTCCTGCTCATATGACCATGCCTTACAGAGGTAAACGGACTTCCAATAAGAACAAAATGAAGAAGAAAAACTCCTTATAGCTGAGAGTTCTTATTGTTTCTCCCAGCACAGTTGTAATTTTTTACTGAGGAATGTTATAAATTTTGAACAGAAAACTGGCTTCCAAAGTAATGTGCAGCTCAGAATGAAGGAAATGGCTTCCCGTAAGAATGAAGAAGATGAAAAACTCCTTATAACCATGGATACTTATTGCTTCTTCAAGCAGTTTCAACTGGAAATTGATCGAAATTTTGATTTGCAGCCTTGAATTCCAGAGAGAAATGCAGATTTGTTTTTACTCATAGTGAAGTGAGATTTTAATTAAAATTCTGCACATTGTAATATGATTGTACTTAAATGCAACAAAACTTCCATAAAGAACAAAAAATTAAAAAATAAATTTCAACTAAATATGTTCAAGTAACAGTTATACTAGGTGCTGTCATTTATATTTCCTCCATCAGTGGTAATCATTATATTTTTATCAGCATTGGTTTGACTGTCAGTGGGCAAGATATCTAAATCTTCAGAAATATGTTTTCAGGATTGACGTTTTGCCTTGTATTTGAAAAGGAACTTTTGATTACCCTTTCGGCAGATTCCTATGCTCTTGGAGTGTCCTTAAGTTGTGACTCGCATGATTTGTTATGGCAAGTCAAACAACCTTCTATATTGAAAATTAAGAGAATTAAGTGGAAATTTATCACAGCCAAGGGAGACTCAAGGCATCAATGGTTGATTCAATGATACTGTATTTATACTGCCATCAATTATTCAGAGTCATATCATTATGAATACAATGATTTATACACTACTTTAAAATATTTATATTGCTTTGTGGTTATGTGACATTCATTTGATAAGATGTGGACATATTTGATGATACTGGCCAAGTAAATGAACTTTAGAAAACTTAATATCTCATGGTGCTTTTTACAGATTTGAAATAATGTGTTTGTACTAAGCGAAATGTTGCAGCAATCCTATGAGTTACACCATATAATTAAAATAACATGACAGTAAATTCAACTGTAATATGGCTTGATTACTAGGATTTTTATGTTGAAAGTTTCCTAGACAGCATTATATATAGAAGTGTTCTTGAAATCATTCAATTCAAACAAAAGGCAGTGAATTTTTAAATGCATTTTTCAAGTGTGTGGTCTATCATATCATGTATAGTATTTGCCACTGTTAAATGTAATACTGCAATAATACATAAAGCACTATTTTATTCTCATAATTTTTGAGTCTTCATTTGTATAGAATAATGTAGAACTCAATTTCAATCATGGGCAGCTGCATAATATTTAATGTTGTCAATTAAAAAGTGAGAGTAATTGTCAGTTAATCATGCTTAAAGATTACATATTGATGTATTTTGAACAAATACAAGTCAAATTAAGATACTTGATAGGAATTTTACTACAGGCCAAATCGTACTGAGATCTAGCTATGTAGATAATTCTTACACAACATTACAAGTTACTTGTTTTTGTAATGTCATTGTTGGCAAAGGGTAAAGTTGGATGCGAATGACCTGTCAGATAGATCTGAAGTTATTTCTAGTCCAGAAATATTTCACAGAGATAGATGTACATTAATAGATGGTTGTGAATTGTTTGTATACAAATGTGGTAATGTTTAGAACTAGATTACCAGGTATAGGTCAAGGCCAGGTTAGGGTCAAGGTCATAGTAAGATGATGTCAAATATTTGCAAGTATAGACATTCATTTCAGCAACATGCCTGCATTTGTGCTTTGCCCTAGATCTTGTTAAGTTATGCTTTTTTTTGACTTGCTTAAAATACTGGAATTAACAGTAGTGTCTGATATGTAGTTTATGACTCTTTTGAGTTATTCATTGTGTGAAAAAATGTGTTAGATGGTTGTAAGATTGTTTAATTTTGTTGGGATTTTTTAAATTGCTTACAAGTGTATACACTACTTGTCCCTGTTGTTTGGCTGCTACAAACTTGAAAACATGACATTTACACCCTCTGCAAAAGGAATTAGGGATTAGAATCACTTTCTTAATTTTTAATGATATTATTGTGATGATAACTTGCCTCTTAGAGTTTGAATGTTAATTCAATTTTTAAGCAGATAGCTGAATGGTTAATAACATTTTTCATTTAAAATGCATAATCTGGCATTTTGTTAATGGAGTTAACTCTGTGTATCCGAAGCCTCTGAATTTAAACTGCTGAGATATTGCTAAAAATTTAAATTTCCTACTTTTGGTGTGAGATTTTAGCACAGTGGGAAATTAAGCATGTATCAGCATTGGATATCTTTTGAAGCGGCTTTAACTAATAATATATCATATCTCTCTTACATATTTGTATAAGTTTGGATTTTGGAGCTGGTCTCTTTAACTCGTAATTGTTCTCCTAGTATTATTATCTGATTTTAATAATGTGTTTTGCTTTTATTATGGCACTTGTAAATAGAATAAAAATTCTTTTTAAATGGTTTTGTATGTACATGTATGTGCTAGTAATCTATATCACGGTGTCACTTCCAGTATTGATCAAAAATAAGATATGCTGTGCATGATGTGCTTTTCTAGGGTAAATTCACTATCTTTTTACCATTAATATTAAAAGGGCAATTATTCAAACTAATTACAAAAATATAGACTGAGATTATCTTTATAAGTGAAAAATATGCAAGTGCTTCTGTGAGTTTGTTTACATCGATTTCATGTAGTTTATGTTTTCTTTATAACTTCATGCTTGTAAAATATGTCATAATGCCAGTTTAAGGTTTACATTTCCTCTGGAACTATGTGCATTGAAATATTCCATATCATATGTTGCTTGTCGCCAGTGCTGTGTAATGATAATTATTGTAACAAATTATATAGTAATTTTTAAACCATAATTATTAAATTGTAATTGAAACTACATGTATATTGTGCAATAACCACTTCTTTTCCTTTAATTAATTAATTTGTAAAAAAAGCTCAGTTGTAGTCTCTTTTAATTTAAGAGTAAAACTGTGTGTCCTTATTCATCATACTATTGTGGTTTTTAAAACAGCTATGGATACTTTGTAAATTATGGAAACTAGAAGGCGTTGTAATTGAGTTCAAATGTAAAAGTAAATATGCTCTCTTTTTATACAGCATTTCACTGGCAATTCAAACAAGCTACACTGCAAAACCATTGTTATACTTAGGCCATCGTATTAGTATGACAGTAATAAAATATTCATGGATTTATTTCTAGCTGATAGAATTTGCCTTGCTTTGCTTCTCCTTTCGTGTTCATTTTTTTTTTTGCAATGACAATGGGTATTTTATTTATGAACCCCCCAAAATTATACTTATAAGTGTGTAGTGACTAAACAAGAGCAACACTGTACTTAATAAGTTTTATTCATGTGTACATTTGCATATTCTCCTGCCTTTTATTTCGCTCTTATTCCCAAATGGTACTAAGGGCAGTTTACCAAAAAATTCAATCCTGAGTGTTTTCTGTTTGATGATTGTACGTGAGATGGGTACAAGATTACAGTTTTAGTCTTTCGCTTTGGGTGCAGTCCCTCTAAATCTCTGAGTGTGGGAGGGTGTCTTATCTTCCAAATACTGCAAGTAGAAAAATTCATGAAAATGTAAACGTACGTTAGCAGAGGTAAATCCAATGCTCCTGATGCAAGAGGTAACAAAGAAACATAAATTGTTATCTATAAGTGTGCAACTTTTCATAAATGTACCCCTTCAAAAAATGACAGATTTTAAAATATAAGTTTTTAAGATATTATTTGAAAATAATATGTTAATAACAGTTATATTATATAATCACGCAAAATAATCTGAAGCAGTTTGAAAGTTGATATTTTATTTAAGTAAATGTGAGACAATTGGTCTCTGAACTTACTACACGCCCCATCAGAACAACTCGATTGTTGGTCGACCTTATTGTAGCAACAAGACCCGTTATATATGCAGTACTTCCCGCCGCCACTGGGGACAGGAGAATTGCAGTACTTGGCACGCTTCTTTTGGCAGAAAAAACTGCATGTACTCCAGGGGGTCCAAGAACCCCAGTTACCGTCCACTGAAATTTTAGTAATATCAAAAAAGGAGGATTCAAAACGGGATATAGCTTTTTCTGTCAACGTTTTAGGGAACACCTTAGTGAAAAAAGATGGTTACTAAAATTTGTGTGAACATATTTGATTGCTCCTGTCCTTGTTAAGACTATATAACGTAGCTAACAAAGGGTAGGAGGAATGCAAATTCATATGAAAGATTCAAAAGAAAAATTCGCCTTCTTATTTGCTAAATGTTTTTAATAAGGAATGAGAAGTAATGAGAAAAAATATTTCTTGCTTCATTGTACGATCGCATTTTAGATACAGTTCTGAAGTGAAAAACATCATTTAAGCCCATCTTTATCTTATATAAAAGAAGAGTTAGCCAGATGCATACCTTTTTCGTCAATACAAGGCCCTGCATCACACGAAGCTTTGCTGGTGAGCTTATTATACTGACAAATGCCATTGTAACAGCACCACGAGCCACCGTTAGATGGCGCTGGGCTATCACATGACTTCACACGTGATCTTTCTCCTTTACCGCATTGGACGCTGCAATCAGACCACGCGCTCCAGTCTCCCCAGTTACCGTCGACTTTTGCAGCTAAATAGAAAAGTGGTTACAATCAATTAGTCAGAAACTAAGACAATTGGAGGACAAGTCTCTCTGCAAGTTTCCTTGTTAAAGTTATCGGTAAAAGAGCGTTAAACCATTGTTAGTGACAAACAAAATACTGGGAAAAAGGGGGCACGACGCAAGCAGTACTAACCCGGGCAATTTTCTGTGTTGCACGGTTCGGATTCACTAGCAACACCTTCGTCGCAATCGCCTCCAACGCACGTGCGAGTCCTTGATTTACTCCCTCCCCCGCAGGTGGCGCTGCACTCGGTCCATTCTCCCCACTGACCCCACGTGCCTGCAGTACATAAAATGTGAAACTTACATATCTGAACGAAGATTTACAAAAGTCTTTCTCCCTTTGCTCAAATTGAAACAAATGGGTCTCAGCTATTGAATCCTCGCAGTAAGTGAAACAGGACGAGCTGAAGTTTCCAAAATTCTCTCTCTTTATTGAGATAACAGAAAAGGGAAAATGTACCTAATTTCTCACACGGCCCTGCATCACACGATTCCTTGTTTGTAAGTTTGTTGAACTGACACATGCCGTTGTAGCAACACCACGACCCGCCATTAGATGGCGCTGGGTTGTTGCACAATTTATCACGTGATTTTTCTCCTTTACCGCATTGGACGCTGCAAGCAGACCACGTGCTCCAATCACTCCAGTTACCGTCAACAGATCCAGCTAAAAAAAGTAAGTTTAGAATATCCTAAACTTAATTTGCAGCAAAAATATATATCAACGCAAATATCTGCAAAATTATACAAAACAAAAGCTTGACTACTCCTAAAATCACGATCCCAAAACAGAGGTCTGTAATATTTAAAAGAAATCTCGCACACGTACCCGGGCAGGAGGCCGTATTGCACGGCTCAGATTCATCAGCAACCCCCTCGTCACAAACGCCGTTCTTGCAGGTACGGGTTCTTAATTTCGTCCCACCGCCACAGGTAGCGCTACAGGTTGTCCATGGACCCCACTCTGACCACGTGCCTGAGAAGGAGAGAATTACTATATAAGTTTAATTGTTATTGAAAACACGACTTGTCAGTTTCAAAAAACTTACTTTGATGGTATAAATTGAGACCTTGCACTAAAATGGGTCCATGAAGTAGACTTCTCACTTCTATGCTCTATTAGAAATCTGAAAATGCGCAAGGTGAGGTTCAATATCTAAAATCCATTTACAGGCCTTATAAACGGATTTGGCGTTTACTAACACTACCCGCAGTTCTTTAGGCACTAACGCCCATATTAACCATTTTAAAGAAATTGTAAATGACAACGTAAAACATATGCATGACACATGTACTTTTATTAACCAAGAACAAAAATGTAAACTGAGCGGATAAAGTTGCACTTATTACACGAAAACTTACTGATCCCGGGGCAACTGTCGCTATTACAGGCTCGAGATTCACTGTCGCTCCCAGGACAGTCACTTCCGCCATCACATGTTCTTGATCTTGTCTGACTTCCGCCACCACACGTGACAGTGCACGTGGTCCATGGTTTCCATTCTGTCCAGGTTCCACCTATCAAGGATCAAAATTGTGCCATAAAAGTTTTTTCATTTAATTGTTAAGTTTAGTACAGCACGAGCACTACAAGAATATCGACTTTAATTGCTGACGTTTTGCATTAATTTATGTAACGTAAAGGATTCAGTGGCTTCCTTTTGTCTGCTAATAATGGCTACGTTTTGCATATGATTTAAGCTTGTGATGCTGTAGATATTTTATAGCAGTTTTACTGGTCGGTTCCAATTTACAATAACTGGAAGCTTGCCATCTGAACCTACGTATAGTTCAGGTAACAAATTGCTTTTATCACATCTCCTTTATGTGCACTTTTTAAACACTAACATGCTTTTGCGCTGCATCCTTCCGTTTGCGTGCCATCACCAGCACACGACAAAGCTACAGGGCATATTCGTGAACGCTTGCGTGTACCACTTCCACAAGAGGCGCTGCAACCGCTCCATGCACCCCAATCACTCCAAATGCCTAAAAGACCATGAAGTAATGTTATTTTGGTAGGACAGTATACGCACATACATAGCATGAAATAAAATGAGAAATATAGTTAAACCTACCCTAGTAATAAACGTAATGCGACTTGAAAGGGAGGTCGAATGTTACCGTAGGATAAAAGAAGATAAAGTGCGTTCTGCAAGTGTAAGATATAGAGGAGGTGCATTTTCCAGAAGTTTTCATGAGTTTTGAAGGAGTAGCATTCGTTTTGATAGGGACTGTGTTATTGGTTGCACTGCCCCAGTAACTTACCCGCCTTTTGTGACTCTTCATAATAGTAGCATTGTATACAGCACCAACCGGACGACCTAATTTGGTCGTTTTTGCATAACGTTTTCCCATCCCTGTTGATAGCCGACTCGCACGTTTCCATACCGAGACCAACGTTTATCTTAGCTGCGTCAGAGTCCTTACACTGGTCGCCAGGCCAGCCTAAACACATTTGTGATAGCGATAAGTCATCAATTAGAACTTTTTATATTAGATTAAAATAATAAACTATTATGTAAAAAAAGCACTCAGAGAGCGCAGGCCTCCGCCAAGGCAGCAAAGTCTCCATCCAATGCCGTTTCACCCCTAAATTTTCGATATTTTTTATTATTGATTATTGATCCGGATCACCACCAAAAACTAATCATCTGTTCCTTGGCCCACTCCTGACAGTTCCTGAAAATTTCATCAAAATCGGTCCATAACTTAATTTTTGATTATTGACTATTGATTATTGATTGATTATTGATCCGGATCACCACCAAAAACTAATCACTTCTAAGTTAACCATTTCTGACCTATCCTGAAAATTCCATCGAAATTCATTCATAACTTTTTGAGTTATGTTGATGACAAACAAACAAACAAACAAACAAACAAACAAACAGGGATGAAAAATAATCTCCTTGGCGGAGGTAATGACTACATGAACCCAAGATCAGAAATGTTTTTCAGTTGTTAATAGTTTTGAAGATGAAAATTTAAAAGACAGATTTCAACTTCTATCGTTATTTTCGTTTTCGAGAGAGTTTGCCTAATGATATTTACATCTATCTGAATTGCCCTTTTTTATTTATTTATTTATTTATTTAAATTTACACATCTCCCAGCTGAAGGAGCTCTAGATATGATAAACCATGTCTAAAGACATAGATGTAAAAGAAAACTAACAAACATACAAACAAACAAACAAACAAAAAATGCCGAGTTACCGTACGGACACCATGTAGTATCCTTCTCTGTACTGCGACCTGAATTTTGTGCTGGGGTGCTTTTCTTGTCGACACACTTGCCCTCTATACACCATTTTTCTTCTGCGCAGTCAGTGCCATCTGCCGGCGGTTTAAACTTGTGAGAACAGGTGAAAGCACCCGTCTTGCAGCGCAAATACTGGCAAAAGTTATCGGCTCCAAAAACCTAGAAAATAGGACATAGACTTAAGTATCTTTACTAAATTTCCCGTAGAAAGTTTGCATTCAAAAGCACACTTAGCAATAACGGTAAGAGATGGAGTCAAATGTGTATGGGATTGAGCACATTCCAAATATTGATATAAGAAACGCTTTTTGATGCAATTTTTTTCAATGGATGGAAAAGCAAAAAATGTCATAATTCATTGCAGGGAAAATATCAGATACGTGATTAAAGCACTTTATCAGGATAGCTTTTGTCACGTGCGGCACTTAAATGGGTCGCAACAGAAAAAGATGAATAAAAAAAGAAAGTCACCGTACGTACATTACACGTAGAGGAACCGCCTCCGTGTTGCATCTGGCACTGTTGGTTAGCATCAAATAGTTGACCAGGACGACGTTGAGTGTTGGCTGCATATTCCGCTGAATTCTCATAACGTCCTTCATCTACAAGGCAGCAGGCACCTCTGGAATTAAAAAAAAACACACCCATTCAAAACTTTTTCTCAATATGTTTGTACATGTGAGTGTATGCATTCGTATTTTGTATGGGAAAAGTGCGCATGAATTGTGAATGTTTGCGAAAGGCAGTTTCAACAGACAAACTATTCTTTAACAAACCATCTGTTCAATTTTGGTACGGTACATGTAACTGATTGTTATTTAAGATAAGTTATCATAATTCACCTTAGGGTTTTCTTAAATTCTGCAATAGAACAGTCGGAGAAATAATAGCCGCTGCTCGGATCAGAACCCCCCGAGGTCGGCGCCATGATGTTGCCGTTGCTGGCAGGACATGCAGTGTTGGTACCAGAACCATCGTGGCTTGCTCCTAGGCTGCAATAACAACATATTAAGATTATTGGTTTTGTTTTGTTTTTTTTTTTTTTGGTAAAATTTTCTTTTATCACGAAGTTAAAAGTGACCCTCGGGAAAGCACTTTAATCTTATACGCCTTTAACTGTTGAATTTGAACAATAAATACTCTTATTATTCTAGATGTATTTGGCAACTTGAGATGGCGTTAAAAGCATTTTTTTGTTTGATAGTTAGGAAATTTGCACCCAATTCGAAATATATAACGATCTAAAACTATTAATTACTATGTACTCACTTGTGTCCAAGCTCATGGGCCGCCGTGATGAAGGAAGTAAAGCCCCCGTGAGACTCCACGATGGAGCACGAGGAAGAGCGTGAGCATATGCCCGCAACAGGGGCTACGCCTGCAACGGCAGTGTCAAAAGCGTTGGAGGCTAGTTCTCGCCTAATGGGTAACAGAAAATGAGACTGGGCTAAATTATTGGAAGTTGCTTCCAACAGGTGGTAAATTCATTCTTAATTTATTTATTTATTTATTAAGGTTTCCAGCATGTACCAATTTAAACGTCCAAATTGATTAATTTCGGTACAAGTGCATTTTGCAAAGGGTATAACTCAACATATAATGCACAAATGCTGTATGATAATAACTAAAACAATAATATCAGTTATCGAGCTTGTAAGCCTGAATATATGTACATGTTTCTTCTACTGTAAACCACAAAAGAATGCTCATTAAATAATTTCATTTTCATTATGAACAAAACCTACATTGTAAAGGCCATCCCGTGATCATGTTCGGGCAGGTCATCATAGTTATCTTTCCTGTACTTGCACCAGTCTTCCGAGGCCTTTGTCTTATCCACTAGGACACGTCCGTCTTTAGTTGGGGCACCGGGAAGCACATTGCCACTGAACCAGCGGGCGCCCTCTGGCGTCTGGAAACAGAACCGGTGTAACATGAAAATCTGACTCCCATGAAAATGTGACTCCCCAGTCAGATTTTCATGATGAAAATCTGACTCCCCCCATGATAATTTGACTCCCCCTCCACAAAACTTCATACATCTTATTTTATTTGAGTATATGACTGTGATCTTGTAGTATGTAAAAAGGAGGATAGATTGGCACATTTTTTTGTAGTTTGCAGTGAAAATTCAAATGAAAAAATAAGAAAGATAAAAATGTGCACATAATGAAAATCTGACTCCCCCGTGAAAATTTGACTCCCCCATCATAAAACTTCATAAATCTTATTTTATTTTGGGTATATGACTGTAATCTTGTAGTATGTAAAATGGAGGATACATTGGCACATTTTTTGTAGTTTGCAGTGAAAATTCAAATGAAAAAATAAGAAAAATAAA